AGATTGTAAGTTTGATTAACCTTGTGTTTAGTTTGTGTATTGTGCGCGTAGTTTTTTTTTATGTTTGTCTTCAAGATGAATAGAAATAAGTTCATGTTTTAGGATTAATTAAATATTTGTATAATAAATCATATTTCAAACCTCCTTCTCCCTTTCCCCATCCAAAAAATTGTAAATCTCCACTAACCTCGAGACGACCGCGAGTAATCGGTTCAATTCCTTTAACTCTAGATTTAAGACATGAATCATGTATAATGCAAATGATAACTCGGCTCTGTAAAGTTTATTCGATTGAGCCTGTACAAATAAATTAATATAAAAAAAAAAAAAAAAAAAAAGGTTAAGAAGGACGCAAATTATTTAATTTATAGAAATGATCGTCTTGATGGACCCTGTGGTGGCGTTGCCATCATTGTTCATAGACGAATCAAACATAAAATTCTTTCTTCATTTGAAACCAAAGTTTTCGAAACTTTGGGAGTTTCTGTTGAAACAAAATTTGGACAACTTACGTTTATAGCTGCCTATTTGCCATTCCAATGCGTAGGCCAGCAAAAGAATTTTCTCAAGGGTGACCTTCAGAAACTTACCCGTCATAGGTCTAAATTCTTCATTATTGGTGATTTTAATGCAAAACACCGCTCATGGAATAATGCTCAAAGCAATTCCAATGGTAATATTCTGTTTGATGATTGTTCTGCAGGTTATTACACTATTCAATATCCAAACAGCCCAACATGCTTTTATTTTGCAAGAAATCCCTCAACTATTGATTTGGTCTTAACTGATTCATGTCAACTTTGTAGCCAATTGGTTACCCATGCTGACTTCGGTTCTGATCACCTTCCAGTAACTTTTGAAATATCCCAAGAAATAATTTCTAATCCCAACAGCTCTACTTTCAATTACCATAGAGCTGATTGGGAGCAGTATCGAACATTTATGGAATATAACTTCGATCCAAACATTCCTTTGCAAACCAAAGATGAAATTAATTATGCTCTTGAATCTCTGACTACTTCTATAGTTGAAGCAAGAGCTGCCTCAATACCAAAATGCGAGGTTAAATTCGATTCAATTATAATAGACGATGATCTTCAGCTCTTGATCCGTCTTAAAAATGTCCGTAGGAGACAATATCAAAGAACACGCGATCCTGCCATGAAAGTTATCTGGCGGGATTTGCAAAAACAAATTAAAAAGCGATGCTCTGCCCTGAGGAACAAAACTTTTGAAAATAATGTTTCTAAATTAGACCCGAGTTCCAAACCCTTTTGGAAACTCACAAAAATTTTGAAAAAAAACCCTCAAAAGCCTATTCCAGCGCTTAAAGAAGGTGGTAAAATTTTGATCACAAATTTGGAAAAAGCTCAGAAACTTGCTAAGCAATTCGAGAGTTCCCATAATTTCAGTTTGGGTCTTACTGGTCCTATTGAGAATCAGGTTGCTCGGGATTTTCTGAATATTTTCTCTCGGGAAAATATTTTTGATGATTCATGGGGGACTGATTTGGACGAAGTAAGGTCTATAACTAAAAAATTTCAAAATATGAAACCTCCAGGTGATGATGGAATTTTCTATATCCTCATCAAAAAACTCCCAGAGAGTACCTTGTCTTTCTTGGTAAAATTATTTAACAGATGTTTCCATTTGGTATACTTTCCTGATAAATGGAAAAATGCAAAAGTTGTTCCAATTTTGAAGCCGGATAAAAATCCAGCTGAAGCTTCTAGCTACCGTCCAATAAGTTTGCTTTCTTCAATAAGTAAACTTTTTGAAAAGATAATTTTGAATAGAATGATGCTTCACATCAATACGAACTCAATTTTTGCAGATGAGCAGTTTGAATTTCGCCATGGGCATTCAACTACTCATCAACTCTTAAGAGTTACCAATTTAATTCGTTCAAACAAATCGGAAGGCCACTCAACTGGAGTTGCTCTTCTAGACATAGAAAAAGCATTCGACAGTGTTTGGCATGAAGGTTTGATTGCTAAATTGAAAAAGTTTAATTTTCCACTTTATATTATGAAATTAGTTCAAAATTATTTAACTGACAGAACTCTGCAGGTAAATTATCAAAATTCCAAATCTAATCGACTACCTGTTAGAGCAGGAGTTCCTCAGGGTAGCATTCTTGGGCCTATATTGTATAACATTTTCACTTAGGACCTCCCTGATTTGCCTCAGGGTTGCCACAAATCTTTGTTCGCTGATGATACCACGAAAAAAGCACTTCAAAGGATTCAGAACAAAGTTCTGAAAATGATTTTAAAGTTGCCTCCCTGGTACAGTACTACCGAAGTACATAGAATTTCGAATGTTGAGACTTTAGAACAAATGTCCAACAAAATAATTAATAATTTCAGGCAAAAATCGTTGCAATCCTCAATTGCAACGATTAATTCCCTTTATACTTAGATAAGATTTAGTTTTAGTTTTTAGTTTTAAGATATCAATTGTTATACTGACATGCAGGTTTAAAAAAAAACTTGTTTAAAATACTGAATTGCCAAGACAGGAACAAGGTAAAAACACTTAGCTATATGTCATAACAATTAAGGCTGGTAAGTGACTGCAGTAACTGGAGCACCTAGGTTAAAAATGAAATGTAATTTATTTTGAATTTGGAACAAATAAAGAGTTAAAAAAAAAACCGCACAAGTAACGACTATAGGAAATACAACAGATTCCTGTATCACCGATATGTCTTCCGTACGCAATCATCTCTTCGCAGAAATCCTAAGTGTTTCTGGTCGTTTGTAAGCTCTAAAAAGAACGAAGTCGGTTTACCATTTTCAGTTCACCTCGGTGAGCAAAAAGGCGACATTTCTCCGGTTCATATTTAAACCGCTAAATCTGAACTGGAGAAATGCCGCCTTTTTGCTCAACATTTCACAGGTTCAATGAATTTTCGGCCTCACCAAATCAAGTCACGATTGCTATAAGCGATTCTCTAAGAGATGCATTTGAGCTCCGTCCGTTTCACATCAGTGAACATACCGAACCTCTTCAAAGGTTGAAACTCTCGTTTGCTGCCGGGCCAGACGGCAATCCTGCGTCCGTTCTGAAGCTGTGTTCGGAGTCCTTGCTCACTCCCTTGGTGAAGTTAGTTAATCTGTCACTACAAGAGAGTATATTTCCTGAGGCGTGGAAATTTTCGTATATGTTCCCCTTCCATAAGAAAGGTGATAAAATGAATGTCCAGAATTACAGAGGCATCACATAACTATGTTGCTGCTCCAAAGTATTCGAGATCATCATCAATGAGGCGCTCTTCAGATTTTGTAAAAATTACATCTCCAGGGCTCAGCATGGATTTTACCCAAAACGGTCAGTTACAACAAATTTCACCGAATTCGTGTCACTCTGCGTTCGGACCATGGGCTCTGGCGGACAAATCGACGCTGTTTACACTGATCTCAAGGCTGCATTTGACCGAGTAGACCTCGACATTTTTTTGAGCAAGCTATCCAGCAAGATAAACTCGGAGTAACTGGATCCTTCATCTCGTGGTTCAAATCTTACCTTACGAACCGTTCGCTTTGCGTTAAGATTGGAGCTTTTCGTTCTGAAGTGTTCACGAACGTTTCCGGCGTTCCCCAAGGAAGTATCCTCGGACCCCTTCTGTTTTCGCTTTTCGTCAACGAGCTTTCGTGTCTACTGCCATCTGTATTTCGCATATTCTACGCAGACGATGTCAAAACGTTTGTGGTTATCAATCGCATCGCTGATTGTGTAACTCCTCACTGAGTCAAACGCACACTCATTGTCTAACCGTACATCGTACATCGTACGGGTTAGGCAAAGAGTGTGCGTTTGACTTGCACTGTCGCATTAATGGCCCTTCGCTCATTTTCAACTTCTATTCAATTTTCATACTGCTGTACTCTAACGGAACTATCTACCTATCCTCTTCTAAGACCATTCTCTAATAAATTGTCAAACTAAAGCTTCATGTTAGATAGCATTTCCAACCAACTCAACTGAAGTAACATAAAAACACTGTGAATACTGAAATACTTTTGTTCAGTTTTGTCCGACGTCCCCCTTTGAAAACTTTTTCATTTCAACAATTTTTGAAACAGAATTTGTCCTCTGCTAACGCCTATCAATCCACAACCGATCAGTACAAATTCAAAACCACTTTAAAATCGTTCGATTGACACTGAGGCAAAACAAACTTACGAATTTCATAAGGCATGACTGGACCATTTTGATTTAATAAGACATTTAGAGGCATATGTTGTGCATTCCAAAGCAGGACTTATAAATGATTATCGTACTACATGAGGTACTATACGTAAATGGATTGGAATTGAGATTGAAAAAGATGTCATTTCACTTAGTATGTATTAAACTTTCAAGTTGGTGACACCTACGAATTAGGTACACCAGATTAGAAATAAAATGCATTTCCGATCTTCTACCATTCAATGACTGATGAATATTTCCGGCATTAATGGATGAACTGTTGATGATGTACGACGTGCCATAGGAAAAGAAAAATTTGCATTTAAGCAGATATGCACTTTATTCATAACAGTGAGTGAAAAATGTAATTCAGTGTAATTTAAAAATTTTCCTATGCATCATTGTAACTAAAAATATAACAAAATATGAAGTATAAAGAACACGAGTTATAAAATTGTTGTATTTAAGTTTTCTTATGCTAAATTGAATTCCTTTAACGCTGTTTGCATGATCGTATCCTTGACGGCGCAGAATACGAGCTTAATGTTCTCCGTATCTGTTCGTGGATTGGATTTTTTATTGCGTTCGGTGGTATTAAAAAAGAAATGAAAACGAAACAAACAAAAATTGGATTAGTCGAAACAATGAAAATTAGGTCCGGATGATACTACCGAGAAGCGCTTTTTGAACTGAAGCAACCTAGTTTTAATTTAAAATTTTACACGTTTTAAGATGGATGATGTGAAACAATGTTAGGAAGACGAGGAGGATCATAAGCAAGCGAAAAACGGCTAGTTCTAGCTTACCTGTTGCGCATGTGAAATGCGAGTAAATAATCTTTTCCGAATCTGGATTCAAGTCTACAAACATGCGGAGTATAAATTCTCTGGCAGCTATTGCGTCTCTTTGTGGTCCTGAAATACATTGGATTTGGGGGGATTGCGGGGGTTGATAAAAGGGGGTATTTAGCGATTTACTGTATTTACTACGTATTATATAGCACTAAGTTTTAAAGGGGCAGATGGTAATATGAAGGAGATTGTAAAATTTCTAGCGTAAAGTACGTTCTAGCGCGCATATTTTTAAGGCACATCTAGCACCGGTCGAAAAAGAAAAACAATTGACCTGTAGCGCAAGTGAAATGAGAGTAGCACATTCTGTCTGGATCCGGGTTTTCCCGCAGATACACTTTGAGAACGTACTCTTGCGCCTTGCGGCCATCTTGCTTCGGTCCTGGAGACGAATCGATTGCAGTTGGAGTTTGAATTATTTGTTATATCAAGTCTTTCGAAAATCAAAAAAAAAAAAAACAAAAAAGGTTTGTAGAAAAATAAGCGACTTACCGTCGTACTCTGGGAAGTAGTCTACCAAATGTGAATACATAATTTTTTCTTCCAGCAAATCCTTTTTGTTCAAGAACAGGATCACCGACGAGTGCTGGAACCACGGATACGTGATGATAGTCTTAAATAAAGCTTTCGATTCTTCCATACGGTTCTGCAAAGGGTAGTTGAAAATGACTTCGTTAGCAATCGAATTGCCAAGAGCTGGTGGTGGGTGCATAGTTACCTCATTCTCCGACTCGAACAGAATCTGATCGTACTCGGACAGTGCCACTAAGAAGATAATTGATGTCACATTTTCGAAACAGTGAATCCATTTCCTTCTTTCAGATCTTTGTCCCCCGACGTCGACCATTCTATTTTGGTGGTGGTGGTAGTAAAAGAATATGTATTAGTATCATCATATCGATATTGTAAAACGACTAACTACGCAAATTAGTAAACTACACAACACACAACAACCAAAGCGTGAAAATGTAATGAACCAAGCATGTTATTAATGGTGTTTTCTAAATGAAGAAAGATAACGAGTACATTTTTTTTTATGATTATGATTATGAATGAACTTGATTTTTTTGGCAAAGCATACGTTTTGGAGCCCAGGGAAAATTAGACAATATACACACAGAGAAAGCCAACACGATCGATACAAACTTTGAGACGCAAACAACGCTCACCTTGGGGCGTCATTTGACGAACCTAGAAGATCTACACCGAAGAAAGGTGTTATTTTCGAAGAGAAAAGTAGCATACGAGTCTAGCACCAGCGTTATTGCATGTGTGTATATTTATACCTTTCCTCCCTAGCGTAAAGAATACAATAGTAGAATTTGAAGGAATAGCTCTGGCACTACCACCGATTCGGACGAGGGACATTCTTCTAGCGATGTTACGCGGAGTAAGGTGAAGAAACGCTGCACACACTTTACCTAAAGATAATGCTATCCAGATCGAACGGATACTCGAGGATTCCGGTGGTCGGTGCTCGAGCTCGCAGAATATCCTGCTCGGTCGGGAGGTAATCATCGGATTCGATACGTGCCAGATCACTCAAGTAACTGGATGGATGGAAGGTATTCGGTTTTCAAATGAAACAGAACATAGTTGAATCCTTAGTTGAATGATTGATCATGGTGTATGTTTTTCTTATTCATCATTGATGGGAAGAAGGGTAACGCAGTCGCAGTTTCATGTCGCAAAAACAAGACAGATTCAGTTAATGCTCTGCGGGAGGAATTATTGTACATGACTGTGACAAATGTACGGACACATCTTTGTCGTCAGGATCACAGAACAGAACGATAGGGAGTTTATGATTCGACTAGAGAGATATCTACATGACCATCAGAATAGCACTGCCCAAGACTGGATGCTTCTATAAGATCAAGACCACAGAATCAGTGAATCGATCATCAGTGTTCATATTTGAGCAAGAGCACGCACCTCGGTCGGAGTCTCGGTTTTATGAAATTAAAATCAAGCATATTCAAAAAATTCAACAAGATAAGAAAAAACATCTGAAGCATCCATTTACTCAACAGAAGGGAATGACTCAGTAACCTTCTGAGATGAAATCCGATTTTGCAATTCCCGAAACCAGAAGCGACGTCAGTATGTGCAGAACGAGCTATATCTTAGAACGAACAAACAACAAGTATTTTCTTCTTCACGAATCGTTAATGCAGAATATTCAGAAGTATTTTTGGCTTGCAATCGGTCAATGATGGGAGTTCACTTAGGGGCACTTTTTTGGAATTTTTAAACCCCCTTCCCTTTTACAACTTTGTTCATGCTTACGTACGTACGAGCACCCGCACCAATGCGTTGCTATTCGGGCTGCTAGTTTGACAACTTTAGCCATGGCTATTTTAGTTAGCAACTTCTTTACGCATCGGTCGTTGCTATCACGATTGTGAATTTACGTTTTCGGCTTTCGCACCGATAGTAGCTAAACTTATCGTCGAACTTCGAACTGAAATTGATCACAGAATTTCGTGATGTTTTTTTTTTCGACAATATTGATATACCTGACCACGAAGAATGAAGATTGAAGGTTAAGATCCAAGTACAGACCCAGGTACTCAAGAAACGGTCCTTCGGAAGATCCGAATAGCCCAGCGATTTTTTTTAAATCACTTGTTGTGATGCTACATTAATGAATTTGAATCTGGTACCAGCATGCGCACACTGGTGGTCACGAAACTGACCTCTGGGAGATCCGGAACATCCATAAAAGTGGTCAATTCGTAAAAATGATCGAAATATCGTATGCTCATATTATAAAAGTTGTACACCATTATGCAAAAAGGAATTTTCGGATGCCCATCAGGATTACTAGATTACATAATTCAGCTTGTGAATGTATTAAGCTCAGTTGGTCGAATTTAAAACGGTAGATCTATTAACATCAGAAAAAAAATGAAACCTTTAAGAAGTTCTGATTGATAGAAATGTGGGGAAGTTAAAAGATCTTTAAGAGTAAGTTTCGACAGCTCCAGGGCAATCTAATAGATTTCAGGAAAATTTACTTCAGCGAAGATCAAGAGCTTCAGGGCAGTTTCATTAAATTCAGGTAAATTTAAGCTTAAAGACTTATGGGTAAGTTACGTGAACAAATGTTAGGGCAGTAACATGAATATCAGGAAAACTGTGAGAACTTGAGGGACGTTCCTAATACTTTAGGTTTGTTTCAAGAACTTTATGGCAGTTCCATTTATTTCAGTAAAATAGAGGTAATTTTCAGGATAGTAAAAAAAAACTTCAGGGAATGAACTTAAAAACATTAAGAAAGCTACACAGAAGATCCATGTTTAAAGGGAAATTTAAAGATCTTCTGGGCAGTTCCACTCATTTCTGAACAATTCCAGGAACATCATCAGGAAAACATAAGGGAAGTTCCGTAAACTTCAGGAAACAATAGAGATCTTCAGGTGAGTCTGAGGAATAAATACAAGCACTGAGAATTTCAGGAAGTTTCATAGGCAAACTGCGGGAACAAAAGGAAAGTTTCGCAAAAATTCTGGAAATTTTTGTGAACTTCAGGCAAACTTCAGGATTTTTTAAGTAGTTCCAAAAGCTTCAGGAAACTGCAGGAACTTTTAAGAAAATTTGAGAAATTCAGGGATATCCAGAGACCCTTAGGGAAATCAAAACCAATTTAAGAGATGTCGAGATAATTTGAGGAAAATTGACATTTTAAAGAACTTCCAAGTACCACAAAGAAGTTAAACTAGAGAGTTTTAGGGAATTTCAGAGATATTAACGGCACTTACAATAACTTCATAACTTCGAGAATTACAAGAAATTCCAGACTTTCAGGGAAGTTCGAAGATGTGTATGCGTAAGCTCCGGAAATTACGGTCAAGTCAATAAAATTCAGAGAAACTTCGAGATTTTTTTCAAAGTTCTATTTAGTTCATGGTAGTACCAAGAACTTTAATAGAATTGAGAGTACTTCAGGAATGGAAAAAGTAAATAAACTAATTTAATGGAAATTGAAGAATATTTAAGTAGTTCCAAGAAACTCAGGGAATTTCCGAAGCTTCATCAAAGTACCAAGACCTTTATTTAAATTTCAGAAACATAAGAGATCTCACAAGAGCATCAGGAAAATGTGAGATCATTTTAAGCAAGTTCCATGGTATTCAATGCAGTTTGAAGAACTGCAAAAAATGCAGGAACTTCAGCGACGATCAGATTATGTTCAAGAAAATCGCGAGATCTTTTAAAATGTTTAGAAATCTTCAAGAACGTCTAGAGACCTTCAGAGAAGTATATAGATTTTTTGGTAGTTTCATTATATTTTCGGTAGTTCCCGGAACCTCGTAGATGATTAGAGATCTCTTATCAGTTTCATTTATTTATGGAAAATTCAGGATATTTAAAGGAATTATGGGATATTTCAATAATTTCATGAATTTTGCGATGCTTTAGAAACAATGCGAGGTCTTCAGAAAATTTTATACATATGATTAAAATTTCCGGAACAATAGAAAAATTAATGAACTTCAGGAAAGATTCAAAACCTCAGGGAAGTTCAAATAAAACTAGGATTTTTACGCGAATTGACTACTTTTGTGGATGTTCAAAATCTTCCAGAGAACCACACCGCTACCTGATTGCATATGCTAGTCCTAGATCCTAATTCGTACATGTACACTCCCGATCATAAGTTTAAGGGGGTGTCCATCACAAATTTTCTATGTTCATATCTCTGTCATATTACGTCCAATTTTCGTTCTCTTTAAATCATTTGAAAGGTATTTAATGGAACTTTCCTCGTAGGCAAATTGTTCAATATAATTTCCAAATTTTGTCTGCTAAAAGTTCACCCAAAGTTATATAATTTTTCAAAATTTACTCTGAAGAATCGTGACTGATTTTCTCAGAATTGGGTTGGCCAAATTTTGAAATAAAAGTAGTAGTAGAACACTCATGCTATACCATTCATACCATTCAAATAACCTTTGGAGATCGAAAATTGAACGTGCGGGTGCATTGGTGCGGGTGCTCTAAGAAAACATGAGAAAATGTATAATAAAAAAAAATGCTAATGTAATTATTAAATAGCCCTTTATTGATTTCGCTTTTACTAAAACTGCTACAATGGATGCGATGATTCATGGATTTAAAAGGATCTAACCTTTCGATCGATCTGTGTTTATAGACGAGAGGATTTCACACCATCGCAGGTTACCGATAAACCAATGTTGACACATTCTGGAGCAGGTACAAATGGAATCAAGGAACTGGAAACTATGTAGAAATGAAACAACACTGTAACATAAACAACACCGTGTCGTGATTCAAGTGCTATGCAGTCAAAACTGTTGTTGATAGAACTTCCGAAGAACAATGTGAGCCCTTTCAAAATAACGCTGCCGCTTTCAACAATGAAAATCGTTCGAGGACACAAGCGAAGCTGGACTTGGCTGTAGATGAAGCAGTTAAGTGTATTAAGTGTGTACACCTAGGTCGGACTAATTTATCGAATGTGGAAGCTGCTTCCGAGACTCGCTTGATGAACAGTTTCAGATCATAATAATAATATGTTCCGTTCTTGGACATTGTTAGACAATTTATATCTAACAATAATTGTAGGGTGGCCACAGTATTGTGGAATTTAAATTCCAGGTTATAAACCTGGTTTTCACAGTTATCTAACATAGTTTTCCAGGTTTGATGGGAACAGGTAACTATGGTGAAATGCCCCAAGTAACATTACAATCTTTTAAATTTGTCGAACCTCTTGACGGAATCCCTGCTAAAGGTTCTCTCGGGGCATCCCAGTGGTTCCGAGAGCGGCCAATGTGGTAAATGATTCACTTTAAGTCTATAGAAAGAATATTCATGAAAA